CCGTTCTCCAAATAATATCATTTTGTAGAACTCACAGAGTTCTATCATAACCATTTTTAGTTGATCTGAAAATATTGTTTCTAAAAAAACTATGGCGAGGTCCGCGAAGAGCCCTGCCGCAAATATGGAAATATTGATATCCAAAAAATTGAAATGGATATAAAGTGGTTTTTCCAGGCGCCACAATTGGAACGGCCGTGTTTCCAGGTATCGGAACTATGATTGGAGCTATTGTTGGAGGAATCGCTGGGGGAATCGGTGGAAGCGTTGGAAGTGATATAGCCAGCGAGGCTGCGATGGACGCCCTCAAGTACGATATTTCATATCCAAAATGTGTGATTTGTCTGGAGACCTTCGAGTGCAGAAATTTTGAAACGGACAGCAAATCATTTGTGAGCAATGTGAAGAGTCGAATCAAAAGGCCAGCAACTCTCTAGCCAATCAGAAGACTTGTAAGATGTGTGGAACGAGTTCAACGAATGAATCTGACTTATGTGAAACATGTGGAAGAAGTGATTGGTGTGGATCAGCAGAGCAAAAATACATAGTTTGCTCACTGGTCTTATGGTTACTGCTTGTGAGTCGGAAAGACGCATAAATAAGAGAAATGGGATTGATCAGTTCCGGAAGATGCATAAATTCTATTTCATTATATTCTTTCTAAACTTGTATTTCGATTTACGTCGTCTCAATTGGCACGAAAAAACCTTTCCGACATGCCATCCTTATTCACGCCTGTTCGCAATCAGAATGGTGCCAGTATCAATAGGTTCTACGTTAGGAGCATATCCTGGACCGCACGAGAGATTGTTGTGTGAGTTGCCTGGTAATCTGTGCTTGTTCATAGTTTCTAATTTTCAGAGTATGACGAAGACGTTGGAGGAGCTGTTGGCGGATTAATTGGATTTCTAATTCCCGAATTCATACCAATGGAAAACCTGAAATAAGATTTTTGGGTATCTTGTTGAGTTCCATAGATCATATTGTCTTAATAAATCAGAGTTATGGAATTATTTCTATGATTTTGACATAAGCAGAATATTCGGCTGATGTGCCGTTATCAGCCGAGCTACGCGGTAACGACTCTTCAAACGTTTTGCTGTTTCCCTCCATTAACTCAAAAATTACCCAATATAATTATTTATTCAATTTCTCAGTACTTGTTTTAACCAGCAAGATTGACATTTTGAAAAGACTTTTAGATCAGAAAAAGTTAAGGGAAGAGAGTATTCTGTTTAGTATAAAATCAATTTCATGACTGCATGACTTTGTTCGCGATATCTCCTGCGATTCCTCCTCCGACCCCACCAAAAACTCCCCCAACGATTCCACCGACCAATGTGCCGACTCCCGGGAAGAACATCGTTCCGACAACAGCGCCTGTAAAATGAAAAATCGCCTGCTAATGTTTAGCTTAATCTTTTTCACCTGCACTGGCTCCACAGTACCCTCCAGTATTGGTTGCCACAATGCTGACCACCTTCTTCTTTGCTTGTGTTGTATGTCCTTTCATCAAATCATTTGCAACATCTAACGCGTCCACAGCAACCGATACAGCCATTGCCACAGGGGCCACTTTGTTAACAACATGCAGTGCTCTGCCAGTAAGTCCTGCAGCATGTGCAGTGACTCCGGAAATTTGGATATGGGGATCCGGGAGTCCAGTGATTGCCGGATTTACGTTGATATGATAATATGGAACGTATCCATGAGGCATGTCGATTCTCACATACCATTTTGGGTTTCCAAGAGAACTTATATAATTCTTATCAAAGATGTTCAAGATATTTGAAGATCTTCCACCAACTTGAACGACATAGTTGGCAGCGTTACGGGCGGCTCCAACGGTTCCACCGGAAACCATATTCCAGCGGTCTCCAATTTTTTCCTTCAATGTTTTCCCGTTGTCTTGACTTTTCTCGTAGAGTTTAGCAGCAATTTCATTCACAAAGCTCTCCAATTTCGAACCTTCGTAGTGCTTTTGGACTTTCTCCGCTGAAATAATTTTTTTTGATTTTTAAAAAAAGTATTCAATCAAATTTGCTCTATTGATAACAATGTCATCTTCTATCACTTCTTCTGAAATATTAGAAATTGAACAAATTTACCGTATTCTCCAATTTTCTCCTTTAATACTTTCCCGTTTTCTTGAATTTTCTCGTAGAGTTTGGCAGCATTTTCATTCACAAAGCTCTCCAATTTCGAACCTTCATAGTGCTTCTGGACTTTCTCCGCTGAAGTTTTTTTCGATTTTCAAAAGAATTTCGATTAAAAGTTGCTCTATTGACAACACTGTCATCTTCTATCACTTCTTCTGAAATATTAAGACACAATTTCTGAGAAACTCGAAAACACCATGGCAATGGAAAAATTTAAAATGGTCCTATGAGTCTGCTATTGTATGTGGTGGGTATGGGGGCTACTCTAAGACTTTTGTCCATAGTACCCATAGGCCACGCCCCTTCTGGGCGCGAAATGATACCGTAACCCCAAAAACAATTTTTGTTCAAAATGATGATATCTTCTAAAAAAATTGAAAAAATTTATACCGTATTCTACAACTTTCTCCTTCAATGTTTTCCCGTTGTCTTGACTTTTCTCGTAGAGTTTGGCAGCATTTTCATTCACAAAGCTCTCCAATTTCGAACCTTCATAGTGCTTCTGGACTTCCTCCGCTGCAATTTTTTTTCGATTTTTTAAAGAAGTTTGAATCAAATTTTCTTTATTCAAATTAAAATCCTACCATATCCGGTCACTGTTTTTTGAAATTTCTCAGAATATTCTGGAAGATGTTCCGAAATTTCACGGAATGTAGAATACAAAGAATCTAGCCAGTATGAGTCTTCTTTTTTGCAGTTTGAGATCTGAAACGTTGGCGGGAATTTGAATTTTTTCGAATACAAATTGCGAAAGTTTAAAAATCTTACCGGAACCAAAAAGGCCAATATCAGAAAAATGAGGATCCGATGTTTAGAAGAGGTTCCCATTCTGAAATTTTGTACTATTTTCAAATTTTAGAGTTTTTAATCAGAAAAATTGAAGAAAAAATAACAGAGTTTTGGATTTCGAAAGTTCTGAAAAGGTAGGAAGACGTTGCATTAACATCAAGAGCCCGAAAACAAAAATAGAGCGAATTTGCTGGAAATTCTGAAAATTCTGTTTTCCCAACATATGTACAACTTCCAAATATTTTAGATCAAAAAACGCACCTGTCGAAAAATGGGATTATCTTGTGTGTAGTTTGGAAATCTCACGCCTACCCAGGTAGCGCATGACACCGGAAATCAACTGGATATTTGAAAAATAAGGCTATTTTGTTCACATGCCTCTCTAAGCAAGCGTCGCATTGCTTGATCCCCCCCCCCCCCCCCCTGAATACGGTCGACTGGGTGGCCTAGAAAACTCATTTGGAAACAGTGATGACCTAGAAAGCCAAGAAAGCTAGTCCACAGAAACCTAGCTACTCGCTTACCTTCAACCATTTCAAACATCTCTCCAACGACCACATCATCCTTCAATTTGATCGCTTCCAACAACAATGAAATCTCATTAGCGATTTCATGAACTTGATCACAAGAGGATCCAAAAATCAGGAGAATCAGAGAAAAAACGAAAAAAGAATTCATTTTTTCCGTAGTATTTGTGAAGACAATAAAGGAATCGAGCTGGTTTTATAGGCCCAAATTTGCATATTTCATGGCATGTGTGGGTGGATTCCTTAACTCCGCCCCCTTGAACATTATGCAAATTTTAATATTCTCTTTTTATTTTCTAGAAAAAATCGAAAATAAAGAAAATTCAGAAGTCCAGAAAATTCGAAAAAACATTTTTTTTCTAATTTCTGGAATCGGAAAACGGACTACAGTAGGGCTCTACAGTAACCCACAACTTAGAGAAACGATTACTGTAGAAAGGTACTGTAGCTATGTTATTTAGAGGATGATGTAGCTTCTATTAATGTCAAATCTTCTGAAACTTAAAAAGATTTAATTTCCAAAAAATTTCGAAATTATTTGGATTTTCCGTAATCTTCAGAATCTCTAATTTTCAGAAACAGAATTTTTCATGAATTGAATTTGATGGAAAAGTAATTTTAAAATCGAGAAATTCTATGTGGGAAACTATAATTTTCCCGTGACAACATTTGAAAAAAAAAACAGGACAGAAAAACCAAAAAAAAACAATTGGTTGGAGAAGAAGAGAAAGAAAAATCAGTACGAATTTTTTACAACGTCCAGGTTTCAGGATTTTTTTTAGCATTCGGAAGTTTTGGAAGAAAATTTGGAGGAATCGAAGTTGAGGTTAGTCGAACTTTTCGAGAAAAAACATTTTTTTTTTTGGAAATTTCGAATAAATTCTGGGAAATTTAATGTATAAATCCAAATTTCCAAGTACCGAAATTGAATTTCTGAAAAACTTTTATTCTGAAAACTAAGGAATTCTGAAAAGGAAAAATAGAAAACCTGAACATTGAGAAATCCTGAAATCTTGAGAAAATTCAGAAAATTTAAAAATTCAAAAATTCTTGAAAAAAATTTCCAGTGACTTTTTTTCGGATCTTTGAAATTTTGAAAACCTTAATTTTTAAATTTTTAAAAATTCAGCTCGACGACTAGTTGGAACGACCAGGACGAACTCCAGGAATTTCAGGAAAAACGGCAGAAAAAATGACGCAAGGGTGAATCTTTTTTTTTTCTGAAATTTCTTTTTTTTTTTGAAACTTTCAGATGTCTACGAAGTGTACAATGTCTTCAGGATCCGGATAATTGGAATGGGCGGATATTCAGGTTATTTTCAAATGTTCAAAAAGAAAATGAAAAATTTTATTTTTGAAAATTTCAGATTTTCCAAATTCCAGATACAAAAGTCTACGATTTCTGTAGTTTTCTTCAAAGTCAAACGGTTGGAATGAAGTGAGTTGTAAATGAATACTTGGATTCAATTTGTTTTTTATCGATTTTTTTCAGATAAGTGTGGCAAATATGCAGCTCGGCGTACTATGGCTCAACAAACCACTGAAAAAAATATAAATCGTCGCAAAGGTAAATTTCAAAAAGTTTTCAAAAAATCATATGGAGCAAGTATCATATTTTCAGTGGAACAACACGAGACAAGACAGGATTCGTGAACTTTGTGAACTCTATTTTTTCATTTTTCTTTCTTTTTGTCATTTTTTCTTTGCTTGCCTTTTTTATATTTTTCATTGGAACGCCGAGAACGAATTTCAGGAAAAAAATCAGAGTAATGTAAGTTATACTTTTTAGAAAATTTCAATTCTTGAAATTTTCAGATGTCTACAAAGTCTACAACTTCCCCATGGTATGTGGAATAAGCGGAAATTCAGGTTAGTTTCAAATTTTGAGGATATATTTTGATAAATTTTGAATACTTCTTGATTGACTTTCTGGCAAGGTTGTGCAAAATGGCGCCTAGACGCGGTCGGCCTCGGCCGCGGCTCGTTTTTTGAGGCCGCAGCCGGCCCCGGCTTTTATGTGAAAGCCGTGAAAAGCCGCGGCTAGCCGCGGCTAGCCGAGGCCGGCCGCGTCTAGCCTTATAAAAACGCGTGAAGTGAAAATCTATTAGTTTTTGAAGAATTTCGTTTTTATTGTGTCCCACTTTCCAAAAAAATCTACGTTTCTCATGAAACAATTATTTTAAAAAGCCGTGAAAAGCTGCACGACTAGCCTGGGCCGGCCGCGTCAAATGTTTTTTCGGAAGCCGCGGCCGGCCGTGGCACAGCCTTGCTTTCTGGCAAAATAATGATTTTTGTCATTTTTTGTATATTTTTTGTCTATTTTTTTCGTTACTAAGCCTGGAAAAATCTGAAACTAGCTGAATAACTTCAAATTACACAGTTACAATGCAAAAAATAGTGTTGTTCATACAAAAAACCGGCGTAAACTGGAATTTTTTGAAGCGACAAATTTTTGTGGAAACATGCGCAAAGTACGAAATTTTTATAGAAACATTCGAAAAACTAGAAAAAATTGGTAAATCTTAACTTAGTCCACATTTTTACCTATGGCCGGGGGCCCTTTGACTTGCCCCCCCCCCCTTTTCTCATGGCCCCCCCCCCCCTTGTCATAAAGAGTCGCAAAAACAGTGTTGTTCATGGAAAAAACGACCTAAAATGAACTTTTTTTGAAGTATGCATTTTTATGGAAACAAGCGAAAAGTACAAATTTTCATTGAAACAGAGGCAAAACTTGAAAAAATCGAAAAATCTTAACTTAGACATAATTTTTTTGACTTGGGCCCCCCTTTTCTCATGGGCCCCCCTTGTCATAAAGAGCCGATTTTTCAGCCCTTATACACGTAAAATATACAGTATATTTTTTTAAATAAAAGTTTGTAAACCAACACTTTCGAATTGTAGAAAAATGTCACGCAAAAAGCGAAAAAAGGGAAAAATCAAAAACTTCCGTAGCTTTCCCTCAACGCATATAGCGCCAATTTTTGTTATAAATTTCAGATAATTCTAGCAAGGAGCTCAACGTTTTTTCTCGAATCTCCGAGAATCACGGGAAAAAGAAGGAAAGGTAAATTTCAAAAAACTGATTTTTTAAATTAATAAATTAATTTTTAGTGGACTAACACAAGACAACGCTGAATGGTGTGAACTTCGTGAACTCTATTGTTTCATTTTTGTGGTTTTTCTCTTTCTTTGCGCATTCATTCTCCGCGTTCTTCTCTCGGAATCTTGACGTCTCCGTCTTCGTTTTCGTTTTTCCATCTTTTAATTTTACGCCGTTTTTTCAACGCCGTGTCCTAACGTTTTGAGTCATCTGAAAATCAAAAATTACGGCAAAAATTTTGAAAAATTTCAAAGAAAAACTCGTCATGAAACTACAAAAATTATCGCAAATCTGAAATGTGTGAAGTTAGAAGTTCTGGAAAGAATATCTCAAAGTACAGTAATCAAAAAAAAAGTTAGAATCTGAAGTTCAAAAATCTTATATTATAAATTATAAAATCAGAAATTCCAAAAATCTTTGAATTCAGGAATGAAAATTACAGCTATCTGAGCCGACTCATCTATAACCGATACTATTTACTTACTGTAACTAGAGAGATCATTTGAGACGAAAGCCCATTCGCTACCGTACTCTGTTAATGTCTACAGTATTATTCTTGTGCAAAAAAATTGGAGTTGTGGCCGAATTTTCACACAAGTTAGGCCACCGTATTTCAAGGAGAATTTTCGAAAGCACAGCCGGCAAACGAGTGCTACCGTAACCCAACAATAAATATTTTCGCAAAATTTTTGTCTTATTTTTTTCCTTTTTATCGATTTTTCTCGCTTTTTTCGCGGGTGCCCTATTGACTTCTGCCCCCCAACTGGATTGAGAGTACACATACAGAGAAGTGACGCACAAATCCCTTGTTATATTGCGTGATG